ATATATATATAAAAGCAGAAAATTCAGAATTTCTCACATCAACATTATTTCCCCTGCATGTGCAGATGAACCCATATCTAACAGGGTTATTGACAAAAGGGTGAAGAGTTTGGAGAAGGTCGGAGAAGGGAACAATCTAGGACAACATAGCTGGACTGGAAAGTGAGCTGAATTAGAGAATTTTTCCAAATCAGCTATTTTGGCTTAGATTGTTCACTTCTCCGGCCTTCCCCAAACTCTTCACCCTTTTGGTAAGTCTGTAAGTCTTGTATACAACCCGCTAATGAAAGCCTGTAAAGTCTTTGCACATTATCATCTGCATCCCTTTTGAGAATTATAGCATTTGAGTGTGTTGTAGGTGCACCCAGCTACCTAACTTATCCATGTTATATTACGGTGACTCAACACTTACATTGTCCATATTGTCCATACTGGTAGCTTGCCACGGGGTCCATGCTGTATCCCGTCGTGCTGTAGGTTGGGGCGCAGTAGGACTGAGATGTGGGGAGGCTGTCCACAGACTTGATGGAATCACTGCGCTGGCTGCAGCTTGCCGACAGGGAATTGGTGGTCTCCAGGCCGCCATGAAGAGGAGAGATGGAAAATTCCGACTGGCTCTGAGGGCCCACACCGCCTTGACTGCTTAGAATGCTCATAACCTGTAATGAGAAGAGTGGACTCCTTCAAATACCAGCTTTAAGTTGGCAGGAACAGCAGGCTATCGAATTACAGTATTTCAAGTTACACATTCAACAGAAATGGACGAAATAATGTGGAATTTAGAAGTCACCCATCAAACTCGGGAGCCAGTGAGAACATTTGAATCGGCAGCGAAGAGCTCGGAAATGTTACGTATCACAGTCATTCGTTTTTGGCATGTTGGCTTAAGGCCCCATTCACACTGAGCGATTTTTGCAGCGATATCGCTCATATTTCCACGCGATATCGCTCTATGTAGTTTCTCCAATCCATTTCAATGGAGCTGTTCACATCTCGTCGCTCAATATCGCTCAATATCGCTTATAGCTCGTCGCTGGTAGCTTGTCGCTCCTACATGACCCTTTTTTCGAGCGATTTCGCTCCTGATTGCATCCAGCCCAATAGGAAAAAGTCGCTCGACAAGTCGCTCAATATCGCTCGTTGCGCAATATCGCTCAAAATCGCACGATTTTCATGTCGCTCAGTGTGAATGGGGCCTAAAGGAGAACTATGGGGTTAAGGCTTTTCCCCATAGTTCTCCTTAGGGTAACGGGAGGACACAAACTAGCGTCCTCCCGTCACCCTAGGCTCAGTATACCGCGAGCTACAGCTCCCTATATACTGAGACGCCGGAGCTGAAGCGGATCCCGTTCCGGGATCCGCCCAGCTGCGTGAGTGACAGCTGGCTCCTCCTATCTAGAGGCAGAGCCAGCTGTACCCTCCCCCGTCCGTTCCGCCAGTCGGCGCTGGAGGATCGGAGCGGGTAGGGGGGAATCCAGCCCCTCCCCTGTCATGGCAGAGAGCTGTGACAGGATCGAGAGGGGTATGTGTTCGCTCACCTCCCGATCTACTGAGCCGACCTGTGACAGTCTCATTGTCACAGGTCGGCTAGAACTACGAGGTGAGTGAAAAGCACCCCCCTCATAGTTCTCCTTTAAAGGCCCATTTTGCATGGAAAAATATCACTTAAAATGTATGTCAACCCCCAACTATGATCTTATTTGCTTCCTTTGCTCTGGTAAATATACCCGTTGGAATATGCCATTTCATTGATTCATGGTTGACGAAGATGATGCAATGAGAAGTTGGAGTGTCAGTGGTGTCTTCAGCGGTCTCTCTTTGGTTGTTGGTATCAGCAGTGGACGCGGTGAGGAGATCTATACATAGACATTTGCATTGTCCTGCCCATGACCCCCTCTTACCGGCTATTTCATCCTCCTGACCTCCTTCACCTACCCCCTGCACTTTGCTGGAAAAAGTTGCTGAACAGTTCCCCAGCAGACAGGCCAGAGGAGGAGGAGGCGTCTGTTCCTCTGCAAACAGGTTAATATGATTTCTAGAAGTGTTTGAAGCTGGGGTCTAGAGGAAATATCTAGAGGCAGAGCCAGCTGTACCCTCCCCCGTCCGTTCCGCCAGTCGGCGCTGGAGGATCGGAGCGGGTAGGGGGGAATCCAGCCCCTCCCCTGTCATGGCAGAGAGCTGTGACAGGATCGAGAGGGGTATGTGTTCGCTCACCTCCCGATCTACTGAGCCGACCTGTGACAGTCTCATTGTCACAGGTCGGCTAGAACTACGAGGTGAGTGAAAAGCACCCCCCTCATAGTTCTCCTTTAAAGGCCCATTTTGCATGGAAAAATATCACTTAAAATGTATGTCAACCCCCAACTATGATCTTATTTGCTTCCTTTGCTCTGGTAAATATACCCGTTGGAATATGCCATTTCATTGATTCATGGTTGACGAAGATGATGCAATGAGAAGTTGGAGTGTCAGTGGTGTCTTCAGCGGTCTCTCTTTGGTTGTTGGTATCAGCAGTGGACGCGGTGAGGAGATCTATACATAGACATTTGCATTGTCCTGCCCATGACCCCCTCTTACCGGCTATTTCATCCTCCTGACCTCCTTCACCTACCCCCTGCACTTTGCTGGAAAAAGTTGCTGAACAGTTCCCCAGCAGACAGGCCAGAGGAGGAGGAGGCGTCTGTTCCTCTGCAAACAGGTTAATATGATTTCTAGAAGTGTTTGAAGCTGGGGTCTAGAGGAAGGACCAATATAATCCCCTGCAGTACAGGGGGGACGCTGCCCCCCTCTCTTTACTTCTGCTCTATAATGTATTACTTCTTAGTATATTACCATCACTAACCAAAAATCAATTGCCAAGCGACATCTGTAAGACTTTATCTGCAGGGATATCAGGGGCCTGTCAATCTGGCTGAGTGGCAGCTTTCCCTCCCTTCCCCCTTCCGTTTCTGTCACCCCCTTCCTACTCTCTCTGCACCGCTGCCCCAAATCAGTCACAGCCTATTCACATTAACCTTTCCGCTGCCTGGCAGTATATAGCGCTTCGCAGCGAGCGTTAAGCTGACGGCTTTCTTACAAATTTTTTTACTTCTCTCAAGACATTCCAACCCCCCAAAAAAAAATGATGGCGGAGTATGATGCCTGCACAAGTGTTTCGCATCTACACATTCGAGATCATGAGCATGTTAAATCCATTTAGAAGTGGCAGACGAGTTATAAAGTTTTAAGTTTACACTTGTGGATGTTTTTTTGTAATCTTTTCTATGTTTTTTTGTTTTTCTTTTTGCAAAACAGGTTTGTTCAATAAGCCAAAAAGCAATGTACTGATATCTGTAAAAAAAAAAAAATCAAGGCAACTGGACTTGCTGTATTTTTCTCCAATTATGCAAATGCAAACAACACCTGGTTGTGACTAAGCCCTCGTTCACACCTAGGCGTATTGCATATGCGCGTCTGTCGCGCGTTTTTTTTACCGCGATTGGCTGTAAAAAGTAGCGCGACCCCCGAAGGCTACTTGGCTGTATCCCAATGGAAAACGGCGCAAAGTAGTACCTGGACCTTTTCAGGCGTGGCCCGTTTTGTAGGGCGTTAGGGACGGGCGGAAATACGGCAAGGTGGGAACGAGACCATTGCCTACAATGCAATTTATATTTTTGACCGTTTTGTCGAGCGTTCGTCGAGCGTAGAACGCGCTACAAAACGGTCAGGTGTGAACGAGGGCTAACAGATTATGTGGATTGGAGCAACATTCACCATATTTATTCCCAGATACTTTTTTGTACAAGTCATTCTGAATTGAGAAAGCTGGTCGGATGACCAGTGAAACGTCTTCAAGAAAAATACAGCAAGTCCAGTTGCCTTGACTTATTATTTTCACAGATATACCATGTGACCCGGATGGATGAGAACCTTCACAGACATACATAGTGAGGGGAATTTATCAAATCTGGAGCAGCAGATAAAATTTGGAGCAGCTGTGCATGGCAACCAAGCAGCAGATAAAATTTGGAGCAGCTGTGCACGGCAACCAATCAGCATCTCTCTTCCATTTTCAAATCTTAGCTCAAAAAACTGAAGGGAGAAGCTGATTGGTTGCCTTGAGCAACTGCTCCAGATTCTGCCTGCTCCAGTTTTGATAAATTCCCTTCATTGTATTTTGTATATTGTGTGTCTTTTAGGTAACTCTAAACATCCACAGTAATCAGTCAATGCCATTGGTCCGTTTCACGCTGTACTGATTAAAGCAAGAAAAAAAAGAAAACATTGCTATGGGTTATTGCACTTTTTTTCTTTTTGCATCAATTTATTATATAAACGTAAAAGCATTAGAAGAACCTGACTAGAAATGGTGCATAATGCACTGAGAGTGCACTTTATATCCCATATGTTCTGAATTCATGAAATAAATGTATTTGACTGATAGGCAACATTCCCGTGCCAAATGCCACAGCAGCACAGAAACAGATAACCCCCATGTATCGGCGTTAACCCTTGCCTAGCCCCGATCGGCAGAACATAGGGCCCCTTCTCAACCTTGACCCGAGGTCAGTTGGTTAGTAGTCTGAGACACGTGTTCTCCCGTGACACTGGGATATGTCCTTTCACTGTCCCCCTTCCTCTGTATCTCTCTTCACATTCACTCTTTCTTCCCTCCGCTGACACTCTTTCCCCTCAGGAGGTTTCATCATCCTCTCCGTACTTTAAAAGAAGAGGAGTTAAAAAAAAAAAATGTAATTAATTCCCTCTATTTCTGAGCAGGGCCTGAGGGTCTGTGTCCACGGAGGCTCCAGCCAGGCAAATCTGCACCCTTTATGATAAACCGAGTCGGCTTTAGACGTTCAAGTGCAATTAGGATCCCCCATCTCGAGACCATCAGCTCTTCCAACTTCTTGGGCCGCAGGAGGAAGGGAAATTGAGCTGCGGAGGAAACTACATGAAAGTGGGAGATAGGGATGAAAGGCCATCCACCGTATACAATATGGACAGGAACCTTATATTATCTCCTGGGATATAGGATCCGCCGCATGCAAGCATGTTAAGAGATTAGACAACCAACTTTACAGGAAAAATAACACTTTCCTTGTACACTGTTATTCTTTGTGTTTGCACATTTTTTTTTTGGGCTTAAACATTTTTATTTCATTTTGAGAAACGACGGCGGAATCCAATTCACTTACATATTGATGTGTGTTTTGAGGTTTTTGCTACGGAATATATTATGAATATTAAAAACGTACGAGGAAGGAAACCACTGAGATTTTATTTATTGTGGACCTGCCATCTCCAAACGATGAAGGCGGCCGTGTTCATTAGCCTGGCGATTCATTAGCAGCTCGTGACAACTATGAGGCATGTGTTGCCTTATGCGTTAGCTGCAATGTACTGACTTAATATCCAGAATTATTTTGGCTGTTCCAAAATCATCAGTATTGGGCCCGGTTCACACCCGGGCGTTTTTGTAGTGTGTTGCTACGCTCTGCAAAACGCTTAAACACCGAAATGCCATTATTTCCTATGAGTATGGTTCACACCTGGGCGTATTACAGGTCGTATGAACGCGCTACAAAGCGCCCTACGCCCAAAGAAGTACAGAAGATTCTTTGGGGCGTATTTGCCGCGCGTATCCATTGTGATACAGCCAGGTAGCCCTCGGAAACGC